CCGCAAGTATAACACAACTGGCAACTGATCATTACAGAAAGATATTTATCAGGGTAACAACGTACGTGCGATGTGGTTGGCTCGGTTATTTTACACTTTTTAAAAACGCCAGCATCATTTTCTTCATCGTCATTGTCATCCTTCTTATATATTTCATGATATAAATGATGTATGTGTAGGTGATAGACTTTCATTTCAAACCCCAATCCATCTCTTCAAAACGTAAAAATTTTTTGCGTTATTTTTTTCACCTTCTGTCTGTAGTTTAACTGCGTATGTATGGATAGAAAAAGAATTTATATATTTTCAATCTCACCGGTAAGAAAAAATCCTGAAAAATACAAACCTGATAAAAACCAAAAAAATACACAGTCACAACAGGAGAAACTTCAAGACAGATTCCACAAAACTTAAAAACTCCCAAACCTACTTAAATAATTAACACCAATATTATTGCATTAAATTTTTCAATGGTCTCTCTCTCTCTCTCTCTCTCTTTATTTCACTTTCTCTTTTTTTCCATTTTTGTCTTTTTTAAATTCTGCATCACACTCGTACGCAGGTACACGCACGCACGCACACACGCACAAACACATACATACACACACACACATATATACACGCACATATATACAAATCCACGCATATACGCACACAGAGACAAACACATACAAACAAACAAACAGACACAGACATACAGACAGGATAAATTTTATTTATTTATCCGTTTATTTATTCAAATGAGAAAAATTTATTTATTAAATTTAGCAATTAGTGAATTTTATTTTATTTATTTATTTCGTTTGAAAAAATATTTAAAAAAAAACCTACATTCTGAACATTTTTTAATTTTGATTTCATCAGTCAAACTTTATAACACGCACACACGCACACAAACACACTCATACACAAGCGCACACATATACACACACACACACAATTCTAATTAAGAGCAGAAGAATTGTATAGGCCATCCTTTATAATTATTTTTAATTAAATAATTCTCTTCTCAACATTCATAAATTACATAAATGACAAAAAGTAGCATTGAAACGCTCGCAAGATAGTTCCATATTATGTTGTCTTAGACATTTTTTACCCAACGTGTTACAGCTAAAACGGTAAAAATATGACGGGTCTCTTATCACATTCATCATCATAACTGATGATAATCTCGCGTGTGTATGTGTGTGTGTTTGTGTGTTGTTTAGTTGCATATCTGCATAATACATACATATGTAAGTTGTTTAGGTTTTTTTATCTTTACTCTTAAATCAAAATTAAAAAATGTTCAGAATGTAGGTTTTTTTTTAAAATATTTTCTCAACTTTTGTAACGTTTTAAAAACAATTATTAGCACGGATGAGAACCACAGACATAAGCACACACACACACACGCACATAAACATACAAGCACACGTACACATACACATACAACCATACATACACATAGACGTATGAACCCACATACATACAAATAACAAAAAACACACATACATTCTTCGAAGCATCAGACATAATATTGCTAACCAGATAGTAGAGAAACATTTCAATTCAAACACAACCAAAGCGCACGACAACACGTCATCGTCGTCGTCGTCATCATCAATTTCTTCACCATAAGTTATGTTACTTTTATAACGATATTAAATCAATGAAATGACTTTCAAATTGTTATAAGGCGTGTTGCAATGCATGGCTATTTGTACCAGCCATCCCAGCCTAACCTAACCTAACTATTCTACGTAATGTAGTCAATAATAAATAAATAAAATTATGAAATAAAATACACGCACGCACACACATCTGCACATGCACACACGCACAGACAGTTACACACATATAAAAACCTATACCCAGACATTAGTTTTTTTTAATTGTGACATACAAACACACACATAAAAACAAACATACAAGCACACTTCTTAAGAGGTGATCGTACAATATTGAACGTACTCACAGAAATACGGGCGTGTAGGTTGTTTAACCTCTGACCTTTGAATGATTGGGATGAACAGCGGCCAATAACTTCCATAGCATTTTTCATATTTATCATTTGCCTCGTCATCTTCGTTGTCATCATCACATTTTACTATCATCATCATCATCATCGTTCTCATTTGCACACACACACACACACACATATATATATATATATATATATATATATATATTGATAAATTGTTGATAATATATATATATATATATATATATATATATATATATATATGAATTAATGTATGAAGATATATTAAAAAAGATAAATATATTTAAAAATATGTATGTAAATAGATAGATAGATAGATATATCGAAAGCTGAAAACACAAACTTTAAATTGATTAATGCCAACAATTCGGCAGAACTCCTACAATACAACACATAGACATATATATGTGTGTATTGTATACACACTGACCGAGTATTCTCCCACGCTATCACATCAATAAGAAAGTTGTTATGCACGTGTTCTTTGTTCTCACCCACATCAACACACACACAAACAAACAAACAAACAAACACACACTACTACACACACCACACACAAATATACGTATATATATATATATATATATATATACGTATATTTATATATATATATATATATCAAGTAGATAGATATGCAATTAAAACAAATCAAAATATACAAATAAATAAATTGAATTATAGTTTGTATACGAGGGCTGTTTGCATGTGTGTGTGCGTGTGTGTGCGTCTGTATGTGTGTGTGCGTGTGTTCGCGTGTGTGTGTCATAGTAATACTTTACATGATTTTCCCCATTATAACTTCGTTCAGTATGATTATAATAATTCAGTGTTATCATTTGCTTAACAGCAAAGTTTGTGCCGTACATGTATTATTAGATGTCATCATATTATCATTCTCATGTTACAAATAATAAAAACATCATCATCGTCTTATTCTTCATCTACATCGACATCACCATCGCATCATTATCGTCAGACCATCATTAACGTCATCATCATCATTTTCATCATCATCTGCATCATCTGATCAACATTAATGTCATCGTCATCGTCATCATTAAGAATGACATAAATGTAACTGACCTTTATTCAAGCGTGGCCGCTTGGGCGTCCTTGTGACGTCACTTCCGGCTCCATCTTTTTCTTCCTCATCGCCATCATCTTTGCCGACATTATCATCATCTTTTTCCTCGCCAATAAAATTTTTAATACTGCTCAACATGTTGCGACTGCCAATGTTGTTGATGCTGTTGTTGTTGTTGTTAAAAGAATGATAAGGATGATAATGTTGTTGAGCTTGAGGATGATGATAATGATCATCATCGTCATCGTCGTCATCGTCACGTTTCATGTTACTGCTCTTCCAGTTTGCGCGTGAACCTAGTGTTACGTAAAATTTTTATCATTGTCATCATCATCGTCTTCAGACTTTATATCATTATTATCATCACATCATATACATGCATGCATACATACATACATACGTACATACATACATAAATACATGCAAACATAGAAACAAACAAAAATACAGACATACGTACATCAGACCGCCTGAAATCATTAGAATGTAATCAAACAAGATGTGCCATGAATGAACATTTCATAAATTTTCCATCAGTCATTCATGCATTCATCCGTTAATTCGTTCATTCATTCTTTCTTTCCTTCTTTCTTTCGTACATAAGTTTTTGTTTACATTTGATTTTTTGTTTTCTGTCATTCACTTATTAATCGTGAATCAATCTTTCTATCAGCCGTTCCTTCAAGTATTGATTATAGTTGGTATTTTTTTGTCTGTTCATTCAATCATTCGTTCGTTTGTTCACTCACGTATTCGTTCATTCATTTTTTCGTTCGTTCATTCATTCATCTTTCTATTATTTCATTTGATTATTCAGTTTATTTTTCGTTTTTTGTTCATTCACTCGTCCAACCGCGTTTGTATAATTATTTACAACATTTTTGTTTGCCTTTGAATAAATTAATCGGCACTATATAATTATTCTGTTTGCATTATTCTTCTTGTTTGGGCCTTTGTTGCTGTTGATGGTGATGATGATGCCTGATGATGATGTCTGATGATGATGTCTAGTGATGATGTCTGGTGATGATGACGATGGTTGTGTTTGGTGATGATGACTTTATTTGTGATATGATGATGATGACGATTGTGATGCTGATGACGCTGATGATAACGATGATGACAATGATGATGATAATGATGATGATGATAATGATGATGATGATGATGGCTATATTTGTGATATGATGATGAGAATGATGATGATAATAATGATAACAAAGATACATTACCATAAATTGGTCTTCAAACCAATAAACTCAAAACTATGCACACATACAAACACATACACGTAAACACATACACACACATATGTATACACACATACATACACACACACGCGCGCGTGCAAACAAACATAAACGGACATGCATGATATATAGAAGTGCATGTATTTAACAATAGAAGGTCCATAATAATTTATTGACCTTTTCCATTGTTTGAATGAGGTGTATGTTTTTGTGTTTCTGTTTGTGTGTGTGAGTATGTGTTCGTCTGTTTATGTATGCATGTGTGTGCGTGTGTGTTTGTTTGTATGTATGTATGTATGTGTGCTGTCTGCTTGCGTATGAGGGTTTGAATATGGACATTTCCAGAGATAATTTAAATTGCAGAAACTGTCCTACATGTGTATTTATTTTTATATTTTATTTTGTTTGTTTTTATTTTACTCAAAAAATATATCGTTGTTTTTTTAAAAAAATTCTCATTTTAAAAGTTTGCAAATGAATTAAATGAAGTGTTAGAAATAAGAAATATAAAAGCAGTGAGTGAGATATCGACGTAGCTTTAATTCATTCCAATCGTAACAATAGAAGCCAGGTTGAAGATGACGTGCTCGCGTTGTTGTTCGTGGCGTTGGCGTGTGTGGCATGTGTGGTGTGTGTCGTTTTTTTTCGAGTGTTTGTGGTAGTGTTGTTATGCTTGTTGTTGATTTTTTATCTTTTTTTTTATTTCTCTATAAATAAATAACAATCATAATTTCTCTGTGTGAGCAAATACTTTGTATAGTGTGAAAGATTTTCTTCAAAATGTTATTATATCAATGCTCGTAGTGTTGCGTCTGCAGGCAGATTTAAGCTCGTGTAAACAAAAAAAACATATTCACAAGAATACAGAAAGAGAGAAAAAGAGAAGAAGGAAGAGAGAGAGAAAGAAAGAGAGAGAGGAGAGAGAGAAGCATACAGAAAAAGAGAGAGAAAGAGAGACAGGGGAAAAAAGAGAAAGAGAAAGAGTCCATTTTTGACATGGGACACGTCCAAGGGACATCCCATAAATTGAAGACCGTCTCATCAAAAGATCATTACCATCGCCCGACAACACACCAGCCAACGTACATAATGCTGCCTTATTCAATGCAAACGGATTATAAGTGTCGCACGTGCGTGTGTGCGTGTGTTTGTCTACACGCGCGTGTGCGTGTTTGTTGGCTTGTTGTTTATTAATACTATTTAAATAAATACATTCTTTCTCCTTAATAAATTAACTAAAATGAATGAGGGTAGATATGTGATCACACGCACAAACAAACACACACACGCACGCTGTATTTTTAATAAGACGCGATGCACGAGATTGAATTAGGAGCACGCCCGTGCAAACTGCAGCGATTGATTGTTTGCTATATCTGGTTAGCTGGTCAAAAAGAGAGAGAGAGAAAGAGAGAGAGAGAAAGAGAGAGAAAGAGAAAGAAAGAGAGAGAGGGAAAGAGAAGGAAAGTGAGAAAGAGAAAAAGAAAGTTAAAGTGAGAAAATTGAAAGAAGGATATATAACAAATTATTTAACAACTTACACAGCTTATGAACAACAGACAAATGTCAAAAAGAAAGAAATAATGAATGAAAGAGAGAGGGAGAGAGAAAGAGAGAAGAGGGAGTGTGCAGGGTCTTTACTAATTTGCGGATGATTAGTGTGCCGTTTGAGCCGACATTCATCATCAATTTCTGATTTGCTTGACATCAACTGTGAACTTTAATGTCTTTTTACCGAGGTAAGTGGCGTACGCGTGCATCTGTGCGGAATTGTATGCGCGCGTGTGTGTTGTGCACGTGTGTGCGTGTTTGTATGTTCGTGTTTGTATGTGTATATATAGTGTGTATATGTGCGTATGCGTGTGTATGCAAATGTGTAGAAATCTTGAAATCTTTTAGGCATGTTCATTTAATTGTTTTTTAATTCTAAAATGTCTGTCCCAAAAAATTCTTTAAAATTGAAATTAGCGGTAGCAATGAAAGAACCTACAGCCAATCACAACAATATCCAGAAAGTCAGCCTCACACAACAACAACGACGCAAAAATAGAGACTTGCAGCAACAACAACAACAACAACATCACCAACATCACCAACAACAACAGCACTAACAACGACAGCAATAGCAGCGACAACATTAGCAGCAACAACAACAGCATCGACGACAACCCATACTTTGCATTGCACATGAGCGTAACATATGGTTAATTGTTGTCATGACCATGTTTATGTTTCCGTACTCCATACTGCTGCTGTTATTATTATTGTTATTATTATTATTAATGTTATTATAATTATTGTTGTTGTTATTATTATTGTTATTAATGTTATTACTGTTGTTGCTGACACTTATGTTATTTTTTTATTTGTTATACAGATCATGTAATTGAAATAACATGTTCAACAACATTTTCTTTCCATTCTTTGTTTCATTATGTATAATGTGCAAATGTTTGAGTGTGTGTGTGTATGCGCTCTAATTTCTACGATTGTTAGTATGCATATGTGTATGTCCGCCTGTATGTGTGCGTTTGTATGCACCTGGTGCGTACCCACCGCATGTATGTGTGTATTTATGTATTTTTTTTCCAAAATTTTATTGACATCAAAGGCAATCAAAAAGTTATAATAAAAACTTGTTCTGGTTACCTTAACTGAGGTGCAAGATGTTCAATAATCGTCAAATTAAGCAATAAAGCAAAATGTTATATTTAACAATGTTTACACATTTATGTATGTATGTACAAGTATGTATGTTTTTATGTATGTATGCATGTATGTATGTATGTACACGTGTCTGTACAACAAACGTATGTTTACACATTGACCTTTGACTGCTACGGATCACGTGATGTTATTATCTTCTGTGACGTCAGCGCATACGTCATCATCTACGTCATAACTACCGCCGTATTGTTTGTCGTCATTAGGTCGTTAACCCCAGAAAATGATGATCATGGTGATGATGGTACGATGATGATTGCCATAATTGCGTGCAATGACTTCTACAATGTTCTTTTGTTCATCTGATTGTTTGTTCATGATACTTTCAACAAGTGCCGGATTACTGACTGAGTATAAACTTTTTTCAGGAACGAGTGGTTATTCAATATTTACGTTCCACATGTATGAGTTTGTATGTTCTTTGTATCTTTGTGTGTTTGTATGTTCTTTGTATGTTTGTATGTTTGCATGTAGTTAGAAACAGATTCCTTTGATGATTTTTATTATCTTTCATACAAAGTTGTACATAGAAGAAGAAAAAACAAATATTCTTCTTTTGATCAACAAACCGAACCCTTCATGTTTTTAAATTATAATTGCGACACAACATGGTCAGAATATTGAAGAGATGTTTGAAAACATCTGAATGTGTGCGTGCGTGTGTGCGTGCGTGTGTGAATAATGTTTGTGTGAAGTTCGTGTATGTTTGCTGCTGTGTGTTCATTTGTCATTGTGTACAATTTGTATCAGTGAGTGTATGCGAGTTTTGTTTAATAAGTTAAACACTTGTATGTTATCAACGTGTTGTTTGTTGTTTGTGTATCAATTTCAGCATAAACACAGATGTTACAACAGTAACAATGTTGGTTGGTTTGTACGTCAGTGATTCATTAAGGGTTTTTTAATAACGCTTTTTGATGTTGTTGTTGTTGTTGGTGGTGGTGTTGTTGTTGATGTTGATACTGCTGCTACTACTACTGCTTCTACTAATACTGCTTCTACTATTACTACTACTACCACTACTACTACTACCACTACTACTAATAATTTTTATAACATTAATTACAACAAAAAAAAACAACAACGACATTAAAAATATCAAAACACTAACATAATGATATACAAAATGACTTCAACGTCACAGTAACAAAAGTTGGAAAAATTAAAAATTATACTAGCATCAATTTTCCCATAACATCAACAACAAACATATCACAAAATTAATATCACGGTAAATAGTTATAATATAATATATTTAATAAATTAATAAACAAATAAAAACATCACATTATTAAGTTATCAGAACGGTTTGTGAACAATGGAGCAAACATGATCCTGTCATAAGGACAACAATAAACACGAAATCGTAAAAATTGTCCTCAGGTTCATAACTGCTGACGTGTACGTGTGTGTATGTGTGTGTGTATGTGTATTTATGTGTGTGTTTTGTTTATATATTTGTCTTGGCGTGTGTGTGTAATTTATCGTTTTTGAAACATCCACATTTGCACACAAACAATCGTGCAGACACATACACACAACATTCACATATAGACTCACACGCGCACACACAAAATTTGCAATCACATACTAACAAACAAACACACACATACATACAAACATACATACATACATACAAACAAACAAACAAACAAACAAACATACATACACCTATAAAATCGATCGTATCACATTGATTAAGGTACTGTAATCATAAAAGTTGTCGCCTATCGTTATAAATTATTATTATTATTACTATTATTATAAATTATTATTATTTTTATAAATTATTAATATGGCAGTAATAATAAATTTATTATAGTTCCTTGTTATGTAAAATCTATGGTCAAATTCTAAGAAATGAAATACATTAATAGCAGTAATAGTAGTTTGCAATAACAATATTAATAATAACTATTATTATTATTATTATTATTATAATTATTATTATTATTATCATTATTATTTCAAATAAAGATATGAATAAGGCCTATTTAAAATAATAATAAATGTTATAATAAAATAACATCGACATCATGTAGAGCGAGAAAGACATACACAATAAACAAACGGATTACGTGCTAACTAAACTACAAAGGGCAGTGAGGATAATAAAATACGGACCAAAACATATTTATTCATAATTAATTTAATTATAATATAATAATATAGTATATAATAATAATAAAAATGCTATAATTTGTAGTTTAGTGTATCCATCTAGTAACTGTTCGAGACGAACTGTGTTCAACAGCAAAAAGAATCTTTATTTTTCACACGATGAAACATGAAAGAGGGTTTTTGGTTCTTCACACAGAAATTTTTATTAAACTAGCACGAATGTTAAACGTTAATTGTTGAAAAATAATAATGAGTAATATGAATAAATGAATAATTAAAAAACAGTATGTGCAGC